CCTGAGACCCCTGGAGAGCCACTGCCAGCCCAAGAAGACAATGCTGACCTTGATGGGTCAAGTTTCTGATTGAATATAAGGCAGCATCATGCACTGTTCCCTCTAAGCTAAATTAGTGTGAGCTAGGCTCACAGTTTTTTAGCCTCTGGCTCACACATTTTTGTCCTAGCTTAGGAAGGAGGGCTCCAGAGCAAACTGATTTATGCAGCAGCCAAATCGCTCACTCACAACTTGAATGCCAGTCGCTGACGAAGAAGAATTTTTGCTCATAAGACTTCACAGTTTAGAGAGAACATGGGTTTTATTTATGTTATATTGGAAAAGGTGGAGGAAGTATGTAACGTTAAAATGGAGTTATCAGGAAAAGTATTATTCATAGGGATTTTAGGGAACCTTTACCTAAAATAGAAAAACCATGTCAGGATTTATTTAAAGCTATGATTTTAGCAGCCCATGCGGTTATAGAGTTTGGCTGGAAAGATGCTACAAAATGGAGTATAGACAGATGGAATGATTACTTATATGAATGGATACAGTCGGACATATTAATGATATTAAAACAGGATAAGTTAGGTGAGGATAAGATTGTGGAAGTCAAGAAGAGATGGTTAGGGTACATACGATGGGTAAAAGCAGGGGGGGCAATAATAACATATTGGTTACACTTCCAAAGGTGTGCTCATGGTTAAAGTTATAAATCAAGGAATTATTGCTGGTCATTTCGAGGGAGGGGGAGGGAGAAAAGGGAATGGGGAAAGAAGCAGTTATTGTACTGAAGTATGTAATATATGTTATGCTATGTATTGTTTGAGTTATAGGGAAGCAGGATTAATTACTTCAATAAATAATATTTTTTAAAAAAATCATGTGTGTTCACGTGCACTGGAGATTTCGGCTCGCTTCAGATGCTTATTTGTGAAACGAAGATTCAGAAGGCAAATTCCAACCCTGATTTGCTTTGACCAATACTGGTTTTATTGCCTGGGGGGCTGTCCAGGCATCTTCGCAGCCAAAGATGTCTAGCGGCCATTTCTGGGGAACATCTCTCCTCTCTAGGGAAGGAGCTGAGCTCAAGGGTAGAGCACCTGATTTGTACGCAGAAGGTCCCAGGTTCAATCCTTGGCAGATCTAGTTAAACCGATCAGGCAGTAGGTGATACGAAAGGACCTCTGCCCCAGACCCTGGGGAGCTCTTACCAACGTGAGCGGACAGCGCTGTCTTTGGCAGATAGCCTGGGTCCACATACAGCAGCTTCATCGTGTTTGTGTGTGTTGAAGTTAGGATTACGGCAGGATTTCCGCATTTGGTGCGGGCAGCATCGGAGGGAACGGGACGTGTTTAGGGGACGGCAGGGCAGTGGGATTTGCACTGCTGTGGTTGTCTAGCTATACCACTGAGAACACCATCTTGGTCTTAAAATCTTAACATCTTAACATCTGGAACTGAATAGAGGAGCACCGGAAATGTTTTTATGATGTTATTTACTTGTTTATTAATTGTCTATTGTAATTTAACATTTTGTACTGTTTCATTGTTATTACCTGGCATTGTGCCCTGTTAGCCGCCGTGAGCCTTTGGGGAGGGCGGGATAGAAATCCAAATAAATAAATAAAATAAATTTGTATGACACAAGAAGCCAGAACTGAGACTAACAGTCAAATCGCATGCAGAGTTACTGCCACCTAAGCATCTTGAGATCAGTGGAGTAACTCTACATAGTATTGCACAGCCGCCCTGAGCCTGCTTACGGGATGGGCGGGGTATAAATATAATAATAAATAAACAACCATGTTTCAAACCATGGTTTTGGATAATTAGTGACGTTCAGACAGTCACGTTAACAAGAGTAAGCTCCATTAAAACCATGGTCTCATCAGGCCAACCATCAGATCTCAGAAGCTAAGCAAGGTTGGCCCCAGTTAGTACTTGAATGGGAGGCCACCGAGGAAGTCCAGGGTTCCTAGGCAGAGGCAGACAATGGGACACCACCCCCCTTGGACTCTTGCCTTGAAAACCTTACAGAGTCACCAGAAGTCAGTTCTGACTGACTTTCCCACCACCCCCTCATAGAGAATTCACAGATTGCTCACTTTGAGAATGACCTTCAGAAGTCCTCAGGTTGAAGCACTCCCACCCCTTTGCACCTGGCTCAGATACTGAAGGTCTCCTGAGAGCCAAGAAACTGCACTTCATCACACAGTTCAGTCATGAAAAGCAGCAAACTGTGGTTTGTAGGCAGGAGAGCAAACCACAGTTGATTGCTTTCCAAGAAACAGGAAGTCTTCCAAATCTGAGCTCTGCATAAGCTGAGAAGGAAGGGAGATGAAGTGTACAAGCATAAGGACTTCTGAAGAATGTTGAAAGAAAATATGTCTTGGTAATATTGGTTTCATCTACAAATATAGAAACAGAGCACAGTGAAACTCAATGCACTCCTAACAGACAGCATTGCCACTAACTTTGAACCAGGTCTCTAGACATAGCAACTGTACTCTGAATTGGTTTCAACTTCAGTCACTTCTCAGTTCTCTCTTTCTCCCTCCCTAAATGCAAAATGTAGTGCCTCACACCCGTGTAGCACAGACCTGTGGTCCAAACGTACATTCTTATATGTAGGGTTGCCAGACCCCCCCCCAAAAGGAGGCAGGGGGGGTGCCCTGCCACCAGCCCCCCCAACCTCCAATCAGCTGGCTGGCAGGGGGACATACCAGGAGAGAGGGGGAGGCCCAGGCTATGTCACTGACAACATGGCAATGTCACTTCCGGCATGCACCAGAAGTGACATCATCATGTCGGTGACATCCGGGAGACGCTCTGGTATTTGGGCAAAAACTCTATGGGAGAAGCCATTTTTACCATAGAGGTTTTGCTCAAATACTAGAGCATTGCCACAATGTTGCAGTGTGCACTAGAAGTGGCATCAACATGTCACCTGCGACATCGCCTGGACCTCACTCCCACTCCCTCCCCCATCTCTGCCGGTTGCCAGGATGGACCAGCATACTTATATGCAAAGTGCTCTGCACCACATCGGGCAACACAGGCCTCTGATTTCATCTATGTGCTTTGGATCTCCCTCCCTGCAGTTGGCTGTTTGAAGGTCTGGGAAGAGAAAAAGCAGAAGAGCTATTGCAGCTTCCCAACACCAGAACTGGATCTTTCATGATTAGAAAGAGCGAAACAACAAAAGGTACGAAAATTCGATATTTCACTCCACCATTTTGTTTCCATTACGGTCTCCTTATAAGAACAGATTTTAAGCTCTCGGTATCATCTTAAACAGAGTAACCTCCTTTGAAGACACTGGTCACCATTACCAAACTATAGTTCTCAAGTTTGTTCTTACTGTAGCAATTAAAGCACATATAAAATAGAGAGAGCTTCAAACACTGACCTGTCCTTAGACTTCTCCACATGAATAACCATTTCACTTCCGTTAACTGCATGCCGATATAATTTATGTAATTTGATTTCCCCATTTCTCTAGGTTTATATTCCTTGTCAGTTCGGCACGTACAGGTGAAACATTACCGAATCTTCCGCCTGCCGAACAACTGGTATTATATCTCTCCTCGGCAAACTTTCCAGTGCCTGGAGGACCTCGTCAATCACTATTCAGGTAGGACAAAATATATTCCTTCACAGACCTCAAAAATACACCAAATAATTTTGATTTAATCTATATTCTGGCGTCTCCAACCCACCTCTGGAATTCTGACAGGATGGTGGGTGCCACTGCAAAATGGCTGCTGCAGGAGGTGGAGCCAACCACACATTGGCTGCCGCAGGGGGTGGTGACAGACACAGAGAAAACCCAAGTGCAGGGGAGAAGAGGGAGAGTTTAAAAATAAACTGGGAAAGAAGGGTGAGAGATAATTTTTAGAAAACACTGTAGTGGCAACTGCCACTGAAACAATGCTATTAAAGGCCCTTTCTGCACCCTCCTTTTCATCCACATCTACCGTGTTGTCCTCCAAACAATTCTGCACTAAAATCTAATTCAACCCTTCTTTTTAAATCCAGTCCCCGCCCCCCCCCATTCTGTACTAAAATTGACTTCAACCTTCTTTTTATTTGGGGTTCTTTCCCCCCGTTCTGCATTACATTACCTCCCTTCGGTGGTCGGTCCGGTTTCAGCCTGCTGTTGCCCCGGGGTATTTGGATGCTGTTTTGGTTTCAACTTCACTTAAATTGTTGTTGTTGTTCAGTCGCACAGTTGAGTCTGACTCTTTGCGACCCCATGGACCAGATCACACCCAGGCCTTCCGGTCTTCCGCCGTCCTCTGAAGTTGGCTCAATTTCATGTTCGTTGCATCTGTGACACTGTCTAACCATCTCATCCTTTGCCATCCCCGTCTTCTTTGACCTTCAATCTTCCCCAGCATCAGGGTCGTCTCCAGGGAGTGCTCCCTTCTCATTTGGTAGCCAAAGTATTTGAGTTTCAGCTTCAGTATCTGGCCTTCCAGGGAACAGTCAGGGTTGATTTCTTTTAGGATTGACTGATTTGATCCTCTTGCAGTCCAAGGGACTCTCAAGAGTCTTCTCCAGCACCATAGTTCAAAAGAATCTATTCTTCAGCGCTCGGCCTTCCTTATAGTCCAACTCTCGCAGCCATAAATTGCCTGGAGTCAAACACTGAGAAAATCCGGAGTGGCAGGCAAATGCGGAAAGCACCTTGATCTGCATAGCTCACCAGATCTTCAGTGGCAAATAAGAACATAAGAGAAGCCAATGTTGAATGAGGCCAAAGGCCCATCTAGTCCAACACTCTGTCACACAGTGGCCAAAAATACCAGGTGCCATCAGGAGGTCCAGCAGTGGGGCCAGGACACAAGAAGCCCTCCTAATCTAAAGCCTTGCTGGGCAACAGCCCCACTTGGCCCCACCCACACTTGGTGGGTACCAAAGAAAGGTGTTTGTGGGCTCCATGGTGCCCAAAGGCATCATATTGGGGGCTCCTGCCTCAGTGGAACACAGTAAGAGTCCAGTAGCACCTTAAAGACTAACAAAATTTGTGGCAGGGGAGGAGCTCTCATGACTCACAGCTCACTTCCTTCAGATCTTGAGGTATCTGAAGAAGTGAGTGAGCAGTGACTCACGCAAGCTCATCTCCTGGTGCAAATTTTGTTAGTCTTTAAGGTGCTCCTGGACTCTTGCTCTTTTCTACTGCCACAGACAGACTAACACGGCCACCCATCTTGATGTATCTCAGTGGAACCCAGTCCAACTTCCTGCATTCCAGGGTGATCTGGACCCTGCAATGTTACGCTCCTAGTTCCCTCTCTTGGCAACCTGAACTCAGAATCCACCTGCAGTTGTGAATAGTGACGTACGCTCCTTAGAACAATAAGAATGAGAAAGAAAGAGAGACGCAGGTCGGAAAGAGTCTCCTACCCCCCCCAAAAAAAACCCTACAAAGGAAACACAATGCTTACATTTGTCAATTAACCTCTCAACCATTTGATAAGGTGCGAAGCCACAACATTTGCCTAGGCGCCAAGGCTCTTCTCAGAACAATGCTAGCCTAGAAAGGGCGAGAGGGAAAACTGTACGTAGTTTCATAACGCCAGAGAACGAAGAAACGCTGCTCATTATTTCTATCGCTCTTCTGGAGAGAACTGCCACCAGTTGAAGGACAGAAATTCTAACCTCTCGCCGTTGTGCATTTCGAAACTGTCTGCTAGGCCGGCTAGGCAACCAAAGTTGTGAAAACATGGAAGAAGTCTGCGAATCGGCTTTGCTCCGCTAGCTGAAGCCTAAAGAACAAAATCACCCAATAGAAGCCGATGTTTACAACGGAGGAAGCTGAAAGCAGCTATTTAAAACTGGACAATTTAGAGCCTGTTTCAAAAACATGACTCACAGAGACAACTTTTTGACAATCAGAGTTGTGCCATGGTGGAATCAGCTGCCTGGGGAGGTGGTAAGCAGCGGCTGGACAAATCCTACATCATGCCGGGGGTTGGACTGTATGGTCCCTTCCAACTCTGTGATTCTATGATTCCATGAATTCTAATTATTAGTATTGTGGGGGGGGGGGATATCAGAGAGAAACCTGTGCTCCATGGCTCTCCAACGTGGTGCCCACCAACAACTTTGTTGGAGGTCCACCAAGTGTTTTTAGATGGTGGGTAGGGCCAGAGGGGTTTCTGGCCCCGTGATTGGCCACTGAAGATCCAATTGGCTAAACAGATTAAAATAACATTGTTCAGTAGCAGCTGCCACCACAGTATTTGTTCTATTCTCTCTTACTCCTTTCCCAGTGAATTTTTGCATTACCCTTCTTCCCCTATGCACTGGAGCTTCCTCTGTGTCTGGTTCTACTTCCTGTGGCAGCCATTTTGGGGCTGGCTCCGCCTCCTGTGGCAGCCATTTTGGGATTGCATCCACCACCCTGTGTCAGAATTCTGAAGGGGCTCACAGACTGGGGACCCCTGCTCTATTCCACTGCATAAGAAAGTTCAAGAACTCCAGATAGGGTTGCCAACCCTCCAAGGGGGCAGCCGAGCGGGCAAGCGAGGCCTCCCTCCCGTGAGCGCAGAACGAGGGCGGGCGAGATGCGTGCCCATGACCGGGCAACCCCGGGGCGCTCACCCTGTGCTCGACATGCCCGGCGCAATGACATCAGTGATCACCCAGAGGTGACATCGTTACACCAGGTACATCGCACAGGGAGCCCCCCACACCAGCAGATGGGTAAGACCTGGCAACACTAACTCCAAAACATATTAAAAGACCCTGAGACATCTCTGCCTCCTCCACAGCCATTGAAATTGGGTGAAAATTTTGTAGAGCAGTCTACCTAGATCCTTTCAAAGTGTCTTAGAGTCAACTGCACTGAAACTGAGAGCCAGGCTTGGGAAGCAGCACCAGGCAGACTGCAAGCCTTAACTATCACCGGCGCTGATCCTACGGCTACTGCCATGCCCCGGTGGGGCCCGGAGATCTCCTGGGTTTGCAACTGATCTCCAGGTGACAGAGATCAGTTTCCCTGGAGAAAACGGCTGTTTTCTATCGGACATTATAATCCAAAGAAATAACACACAGTCCCAAACCAGTCAGGTATGAAAAAAACACAGATGTGTGCTAGATGCCCACAGAACAATATAACAACAAAAGAGACTACATTAAAGCCATAACATATTTAGTGTCTGGTAGTGAGAGCCAGTTTGGTGTAGTGGTGAAGTGCGCGGACTCTAATCTGGGAGAACCGGGTTTGATTCCCCACTACTCCACTTGCACCTGGCTGGATGACCTTGGGCAAGCCAGTAGCTCTGATAAGGGCTGTTCTTGAAAAAAGAGCAGTTTCTGTCAGAGCTCTCTCAGCCCCGCCTACCTCACAGGGTGCCTGTTGTGGGAAGGGGGAGGGAAAGGAGTTTGTAAGCCTCTCTGAGACACTTTTGGGTGGTGAAGGGCGGGGTATAAATCCAATCTCTTCTTCTTCTTCTAAAGACAAACAACATATTCCTTCATAGAAAAAATAGAAAGGTCAATAAAAATTCACACAGCGGTCTGCTCCCATCTCTCACAATCTATATACTTATAACAGTCTTGTTTCCTTGTACAGATTCACAACAGCAGTTGTTCGTCTCTACCAGACACTAAATATGTTACGGCTTTAATATCGTCTCTTCTGTTGTGGGCATCTAGCACATGTCTGTATCTTTTTTCATACCTATAGGGCATTACACCCAACTGAGCTCCCTCCCCAGGTCCCCCCCCAAAATCTCCAGGAATTTCCTAACCCTGAGCTGGCAACCCTAACCGAACCCCAACTTAGCGCACCCCTGCATGTTCTCATAGCATGTATTTCTCCCCCAGCTACAAAGCACAAGATGGAAGTCTTGTTCCTTGCAATTCCCCTCCATAGTTTACTGGGCAGTGAAGTGGACCACCATCACTGTTGAGCTACAACAAGAACAAATGGAGTGGGCAGGCTTGGCAGTAGGGTTCCCAACCTCCAGGTGGCCCCTGGAGATCTCCCGCTATTACAACTGACCAGAGCGCTTTTTTTGTAGAAAAGGCCCAGCAGGAACTCATTAGCATAATAGCCCATACCCAACAGCATAACCCCATTAGCATATTAGGCCACATCCCTGATAGCACAGCTCATTAGCATATTAGGCCACACCCCCATGTTACCAGAAGTGTGGTAATCCAGCCACACCCACCTTTTGCTTCTTATTCTGTTTACCTTGTTTGTTGTCAAAACCCAGGGCTTTTTTTGTAGCAAGCACCCCTTTGCATGTTAGGCCACACACTCCTAATGTAGCCAATCCTAATGAGTTTCTGCTGTTGGGTGTGGCCTGTTATGCTAATGAGCTCCTGCTGGGCATGGCCAACTCGGGAGCCAGCTGGAACTTCGTTCCTGTGCGTTCCTGCCCAAAAATAGCCCTGCAACTGACCTCCAGACGGCCGAGATCGGCTCTAGAGGAGGGGCTCTATCTCCAGGTATTTCCCAACCTACAGTGGTAACCCAATTTGGCACATGACTCATTCTGTGTTCGCTCTCTCATTCAGAGGTCTCCGACGGTCTCTGCTGCGTCCTCACGACTCCCTGCCTCACTCAACACACTACCACGGATGAAGTCAGGAGCCAGGAACCACCCGTGGTGATGCGCGACAAAAACTTCACGTGGAAGGATAAGCAGAGGTACGAATTGCTTAGAACGGAAGAAACTAAGAGGCGAAACAAACACGGGAGAGGCAGCGTGGTATGAAGAGTCAGTGTGGCGCAGGAGTCAGAGTGTCGGCCTAATGCCTGGGAGGCCCAGGTTCGAGTCCCCACTCTGCCGTGGAAGCTCGCTGGGTGACCTTGGGCCAGTCACGCGCTCTCAGCCTAACCTACCTCACAGAATTGCTGTGAGGATAAAATGGAGGGCAGGAGAACAGCGTCAGCTGGTTTGCGTCCCCTCTGGGGAGAACGGGGACAAATAAAGTAAATAAATAAGTTATGCTGGGGGGTCCACACTGGCTGGCAAGACAGGGTGGGGGGGAAACAGTGGCCACAAAGGTCTGACGGCAGGCAAACGGTGCTGATGTGGACTTTGGGAAATGGGCAGCTTCTCATTCGGATGATGGGTTTAAATGATAATAATGGGTTGAAATTAAGGGCGGGAAGGTACCCGTTGGATCTTAGGAAAAGAGTTGTGCCGCGGTGGAATCGGCTGCCTCGGGAGGTGGTGAGCTCCCCCTCCCTGGCCGTCTTCAAGCAACGGCTGGACAAACCCTTGTCAGTGATGCTCTTCTAGGCTGATCCTGCACTGAGCAGGGGGGTTGGACGAGGTGGCCTGTATGGTCCCTCCCGACTCTGTGCTTCTAGGATTCCATGTGTTTGGACTGGTCTGGCAGATTGGGGAAGGGGAGTACCAAGTGCAGGGAGAGAATGATCGGAACACGATTAGAGCAGGACGTCGCATGGATTGCTTCGCAACGGAACAAAAAGAAGCCTTGAGAGCCAAAGCAGAGAAAACGTCTGTCGGAAAGAAAACCATTAGATCTCCCCCCCCCCCGAAAGCCACTTTCTGGTTTAAAGGGAAAGGAAAAGGTTCCCTTGCTCGAAAGCCAGTCGAATCCGACTCTAGGGTTGCGGTGCTCATCTCCGTTTCCAAGCCGAAGAGCCAGCGCTGTCTGAAGACGTTTCCGGGGTGGCCTTATGACACACTTCCGGTGATGTCAGGGGGTGTGGCATATGCTAATGAGTTATGCTAATGAGTTCCTCTAGCTCTTTTCCTACGAAACGACCCCTGATCGGAACATGGTTAGAGCAGGACGCCACATGGATTGCTTCGCAACAGAACAAAAAGAAGCCTTGAGAGCCAAAGCAGAGAAAACGTCTGTGGGAAAGAAAACCATTAGATCTCCCCCACACACATCCCGAAAGCCGCTTTCTGGTTTAGCATTCAACTAAACCAGCAAGCAGTTAGGCAATACAGAGAGCTGCCGGTGGTATGCAGAACTTGAGAGGGTTGCCAGTGCTTAAATTCCTGGAGATTTGGAGCACGGAGCGCAGAGCGCGGGGGGGACGGACACACACAACCTCAGTTGTGTATCACGCCATAGAGGTCGCTGTCCAAAGCAGCCATTTTCTCCTGGGGAACTTATCTCTGTCGTTGAGAGCAGTGCTCCCTCTAAGCTGAGTTGGTGTGAGCTAGCTCACAGTTTTTTATGTCTCCGGCGCACACATTTTTGTCTTAGCTCAGGAAGGAGGGCTTCAGGGCAAACTGATTTATGCAGCAGCCAAATCTCTGGCTCACCACTTTAAGGCTCACAAAGTAGGATTTTCGCTCACAGGACTCCACAGCTTAGAGGGAGCCTTGGTCTAGAGATCAGTTGTAATTCTGGGAGATCTCCGGCCCCGTAGAACTTGCTCTGTATCTATTACCAGACGTTCAACCACTGGTTTCGTTTTTGTTTAAGGTCGAAGGAGAACAACGAGGACATTTCGACCTTGCTCAGAATGGAAGACTCTGGCCTTAGCTACGGACTCCGGGACAGCATCGCTTCCTATCTCGCCCTGACCAGTGAAACAGACTCTTCCTATGTGAGCCACAGAAAAAAGAAAAGCAAGTCTGTCATATATAGGCAGGACAAACCCCTCTCGCCACCACCGTTCCTTTACCACGAGCACTGAACCTGAGAAAACAGAGGACTGGTACTGAGATACTCCACAGTCAACCGCTAGCACGTTTGCGCCTCCGCAAACGCCACGCCTGTCGGATGCCAAGCAACCAGTGGGAGGGTTGTGGGGGGAGGCGACATCCTGGGAGAGAAAAATTTTAAAAGAAAAAATAAGGCCTTGGCTACTTACTGAAGTTCTGACCATAGAGTTCCTGGCGATTCCTAGAGTTACCTGGAAGAGACATGGGTGGCTCTAGCCATCGCCCTCTATGGTAAGCAATACCTTTCAAGTCAGCCACAGCTCATGGGAACAGAAAAAGCATGCATCCGCCATGCTGTCCAAATGGCATTTGAAGACTGTCAAGCAACTTGAAGAAGGGTGTTCCATCCACTGCACACTCTATTGATTACACAAACACATTTCTTTTTCTTAATGCAGTCATATTGTGCATTGCCTTCTAAAGGTGAAGGAGTCCCCGGTTTTTCACACCATTTCCGGCTTGTTTCATTTGTAGGCGCTCTGATCGGTTGCAATGCTCTATGGAATCTTTAGAAATTGCAGTCTAACTCGGCCTGCTCATCCTCGAGATTCTAGTGCACCACAAGTGTGTTCCGAACTCTTGGTTAGTTATTCCTAAAGCCATCCCTGCCTTGAGATAACATACCTGTGTTTATGCCAGGGATCCCTAACCTTTTTGAGCCTGCAAGAATGTTCAGAATTTTGACAGAGTGGTGGGCGCAGCCAAAAAATGGCTGCTGCAAAATGGCTGCCACAGGAAGTGGAGCTGGCCACAAAATGGCTACCATGGCTTACCATCAGCCATGCTGTGAAGATCCCGATCACCACTTCGGGGTCAGGAAGCAATTTTTTCTCCAGGCCAATTTGGCTGGAGATCCTGGAGTGGGTTTTTTTGCCATCTTCTGAGCATGAAGCAGTGGTCCCTGGGGGTGTGGGGGGAGGTATTTGTGAATTTCCTGTATCGCGCAGGGGGATGGAGTAGATGACCCCGGAGGTCCCTTCCAACACTATGATTCTATGATCCTTCTGCTGTGCTGGCAGCTGCTACCAAAGCAACACTTAAAAAAAATCTGCACAGATAATCAAAACTCCAATGGCCAATCAGAAGCCCCTTGGGCCAAAGCACCACCTGGACCCTTCCACTTCCTTAAACCACTAAGGAGGCCCTGGGAAAGGTGTTTATGGGAGCCACAGATTCTGTGGACACCATATTAGGGATCCCTGGTTTATGCAATGCAGCTTGGAAAATCTCTAATCTCCCCTTCTGGAATGGGAGGTACCACTGTAATTTATACCAATGTTGTACAGTCCAGTGGGGGATTATAGCAGTATACCATCATAGCGGATTCTTGGTCACTTGACCGATGCATGGAGCTGGAAGGTCATCATCTGATCCCCTCAGCCCCACCCCATGAAAGATCCTCCACCACCCACTCTTCCCCCTTTTCCATCGCCAACACCCAACACATTGACCAGAGATGGCACCATCAGACAACAGGAGCGGACAAAGTAAACCAGACCAAAGAATCTGCAAAGCATAAAACTACCCAAAGGCTGAGCTGAGCTACACAGTTCAGCAAAATCACACAAACAGGTCCTTCCAGCAGGTGGGAAATCATTTAAAAAAAAAAAAAAGTCCCCGCACATAAAATATTCCATGTCAACAGACAACTGTTAGGGAAAGGTTCCGGCCCAGAGCTCTCTCCCTGATACGCTGGTGAGTGGGGAGTTTTGTTAGTTTTAGCGGTCAGATGAAAGGGCTTTCCCATGTGATTTTGCTATAGCAGAACCCACTAGCTTCTACTTGATATCCAAATTCAGAGCCAGAACGGTTTTTTATTTGTGAGTGAATAAGCAGAGCACATCTTCCCCTTGACAGAGGCCCCAGATATGTATATAAACCTATTTATATGATGCGCTTGTAAAATGTAAATTATATTACAGTGTATAAGTCTATTTGGTGACGTCGTTTTCTGAAAAGATGTATAAGAGTATTAAAAAAAATAAGGACTAAAACGGTAAACAGAAGACAGAAGTCTGCCTTACCTTTTGTGAACATCTGCAGTGAGGGGGGGGGGAAGTAAGTCTGATTACATCTTTTTAAAAGACCTAAAGCCCTTTGTTGGAATACAAGTAGGCCTTGAGGCTCACAAAGACACTATGAGTACTTAAGTAACAAAACTTGAAAGCTATTCTCATTCTTCAGAAAACCTTGAGCCAGAAAAAAGGTATTACCACCCAATGTAGGAACACTTTCACATATCTCAGGTTTTAGAGTTGCCAGTCTCCAGGTGGGGCCTGGAAATCTCCCAGAATTCAACTGATCTCCATAGAGGTGTTCCCTCTAAGCTGAGTTAGTGTGAGCCCACTCACAGTTTTTTAGCCTCCAGCTCACACATTTTTGTCCTAGTTCAGGAAGGGAGGGCTCCAGAGCAAACTAATTTATGCAGTAGCCAAATCGCTCGCTCATAACTTTAATGCCAGCAGCTCACAAAGTAGAATTTTTGCTCACGGGACTCGACAGATTAGAGGGAGCATGGCTCCAGCCATTCTCCTGGAGAAAATGGCTGTTTTGGAAGGTGAACTCTATGGCATCGTACCCCACTGGGGTCCCTCCTCTCCCCAAACCCCACCCTCCCCCAGTTCTACCCCCCCCCCCACCCCCCGACACTTCCAACCTCCTCTCCTCAAACCCCACCCTCCCCAGGTTCTACCCCCCCCCCAATCCCCAGGAATTTCCCAACCCAGAGTTGGCAACCTGATCAGACTGTGACAGCAAAGATTCAGAGCCAGCTCTTGGTTGTATTCAAGAACAGACCACAAAAGAAAACAGAGTGTTTGGCTGAGTTCAGACTGGCAAGTTTGCCCCGAGAGAGGCACGTGCCAGAAACGTTTCACAAACGGATTAAAGGGGCCGGTTCACACAGGCACATCTGTCAGGCGCTCCCCAGACATACTCAGCCCGTCTTGTAGCGCTTCCCTCCCGAGTTTAAAAAGCACCTGGTGATAGTGGTAGCAAACCCTGGACAGCACCGTCGTCACGCATTCATCCCACACCAACAAAGTGTGAATGCCAAAAGCCACAATTGCTTATGCACATATGCGCGTATCTCTGGATTACCACAATTGCTTGTGCGCTTATGCGCATAAGTGCATATCTCCGGATTACCAAAAAGAAAGCCGCGCCTTACAGCCGTGCCTCCACCAGGGGCAGGCCAACAGTGCAAACACTCCCTTGCGCCTCCTCCCCGGTATGCTCCCGCATCGGTTGGCACAGTGTGACCGGGAAAACCTGGACCAGTTTGTGCCGGATCTTTTTGCCACGACTCCCTCGCGCTTCAAACTGCCAGTCTGACCTCAGCCTTTGAGATGCACATAAAACACAGGGATGGAGATGTTCTAAAAGTAACAATCTTATCAGGGCTGAAACAGAGGCAAAGAACTGCCTCTTTTCCTCTCCCATCAATCCATATTTCTCACATGCTGGACCAAAAATATATTACACGTTCCCTCAGAACAACATAATCACCTGAGATCAATGCTGGAAATGCATCAGAGCCTTCCCTCAATCACTCCAGTGGGAAACCAGCACGGGGCCCCTAGATCTCTGTTTGTCGTTCATTTATTATCCGTTCACTTCACAGACAATTATCAGATCTTGCAGGATTTTTTTTCTTGAGAGCATTAGCCACAAGAAAAACTTTACTGTAGCATAAGCCTTCAAAAAGAGAGCTTCCCCAAGTCCGCTTCCCCAAGTTCCTCATATAACCGTGACATCACATAGCATTCATAGTATGCAGCCCACGTACCTTCTTTCTGGGGTCGCACCATGCCTCCCACTATGTTAAAAAGCTTCCCACGGTGTGCTGCTGTTGCCTGCAGCCACTGTAGCTCTAGGAATCACCAGGAACTCAATGATTTCACCATAGAGTTTCCAGAAATTCCTTGAGCTACTCATTATCACTTCCAGGTAGTACCCAGAAGTGTGGTGGGGATGTCAGCAAGGTCAACAACATCACACACCCTCACAGCCCTGCCCCCCCATCCCCCCACTGCTTGCCAGGCTCGGCCAGGTGACCCTCCTTATGTCAGCAAACCTTACAACAACTTTGCAAGGTAGAACAGGATTAATGAACTTGTCTTGCCGATGGGACTGAGTCAAAGAGAAGAGTGGCACGCCTGAAGCCACCTGGTGAACTCAAGGAAGCGATGAGATTTGAATCCACAATAAGATAGGAAATCCAGGCGAGGAACAAACACAGCAGAAGCAGCACAAGACCAGCGGTAAACCATCCACAGCCTGGCAGAAAAGATACTCACCATCAGCAACGCTCTCTTGAAGAGGCCTGAGTCCCTGGCGCCTGCAACCAGGTGAAGACTGGCGATGTCGGCTCCGCTGCGGTCCGCTGCAGTCGTAATCTGGCTGGGGTCTCCTCCAAAGCTCGCAATATTGTCCTGTGTCCATTTCAGAGCTGCTTCCTGGTCCAGCAGGCCCCAGTTGCCACTCGCCAGGGAGGAACCTGGAATCAGCAAAGGAGGTGGTGGCTCAACACGATGCTCACAGGTATAAGTGCAGCGATGCTTGCATTATTTTATATATCCATCTGCTGACCTAATTGTTGATCCTTTACATGTTCCATGTTTTAAAGAAAGGTCATTAGGCTTGCCAAGTTCCCCGCCGGCGGCGGATCAGGCCCCGGGGGGAACCCCACCCCCAAAGCACGCGACGTCCACGTCACCCGCCGGGCATGCTGGGGGCGGGGCCACGGTCGTTCAGGCCACGGTCATCCGAGGGAAAACTCTATGAATTTCAAACCAGGATTTGAAATAACCTTCCAGCCTGTTGGCTCCAGGTGTCTAGTAATAACAGCATACCTGAATACAATTTGTGGCAGTTGTCAGGGGGGGGGGGGGGAATATAATTATCATCACGCAAGACAGAATCGTTTTCTTTTATTATAAGGGAAGAAAAGCCTCTGGTGGAACCTGCTATTACATCGCTTTAAGCTTCAGCAGCCAACATGGGGCCATCCATTTCGGTTGTTGGAACTCTATATTTAGGCATTAAAAAAAAAAAAGGCTGGATTATGGGGCAGCGGCAGGAGTTTTATTGGACAGCTACCTGCATCCTCCCAGTTAACAGATTTCCCCTGCTAAATCACTTTTCCTTCTCTTGTCTCTTAACATGTGATTTACAGTCATTCAGCCTCATTTAAAACCACTGAAATTAACGGTCTTAGGGTTGCCAGGTTTCTTTGTTGTGCTTGGGTGGGATTTGGGGGGTATTCCAGGAGGGGTGATGCACTGATGTCGCCTGGAAGTGACGTCAGCAATGCTGTGGGCGATGCTCTGCTTTTGGGGCAGACATTGCTATGCTTTCTGGGTGACATCAGCACATTGCACACAGTGTCTGGGGTGGGGGGATTTCAGGCCCGTAGCTACAGTGGGGCCTCCCGGGGCCTGGCCCCCTGACTTCCTTCTGAGGACCCACGGCTTCCGCTCGGCCTGCGCCTGGGGCTGGCAGACAGACGCCCAGACCCCCCCTGCCGCCGGGCAAGGCCAGCTCCATGGGAGCGGAGGGACCCCAGGGCTGTGTCGTTGGCCTCTCCTCCTCCTCACACACACCCCCACATGTGCCGGAAAACGCGGGAGGGGAGGCATGGCTATTTTCACCGTCGCATTCTGATCTGCCATTATGCGATCAGATGCGATGGCAGCGCACTGGGGTTTCGTCATTCGGCACACGCTGCAAAGAGGACGGCCGGAGGGAATAGGCGCGCACCGGTGCGATCACACTGAACGAGTCCGTCTGCAGCCCGTGGAAAACCATTTGCTAATAGATCTTTGCAGGTACTTTTTAACTGCACATCTTTGGCGGCACGCCACGGGTTGGCCACGAGTGCGCTACGCTTCCCAGATGTTGCGGTGTGATCGCGCCCCAAAAATCCGCCCAGCTTTCATGCGGTAAATTCTCCGTGTGACCGGGGCCTTAGATTAGAATCTGTATAGGTTTGCACTGTTACAGTCTCGTCCTTAGAACAGTGTAAAACTTAGGACTGCATTAGAAAAGAGCAAGAGTCCAGCAGCACCTTAAAGACTAACAAAATTTGTGGCAGGGGACGAGCTTTCGTGAGTCGCTGCTCGCTTCTTCAGGCTCTCAAAAAGTGACTCTTGGACCGATTTCCCACAAGCGCTGCTCCGCACTTCGCTCTTCCCTTTTGCCCCGATGGTACGTGTCAATTTCATACAAGCTGTTGTGCAGCCGCATTTCGCCCCGCAGCTTCGCGTGATTTTCCCCGCATCTACTCAATCCTGTTTTTTGAGGATTGAGTAGACGCAGGAGAAATTGCGCGAAGCTGCAGGGCAAAATGCGGCAGCACAGCAGATTGTGTGAAATTGACAGCTACCATTGGGGCAAATGGGAAGAGCGAAGCGCGGAGGAGCGCTTGTGGGAAATCGGCCTTGCTCTCTTGTACTGATATGGGTAGACTAACACGGCTACCCATCTCGATCTAAGACTGCATTGTTAGTTTATTGATTGTCTTCATTGCTCGTGATTTTGTTTTTATATTTTTCCACTTGAGTCAGCCCCTTGGGGCTTTATGCAGAAAAATCAAAGTAGGGATTGCTTAAGGCAAGAGAGACCACAATTTAGCTGCTCCCTGTGGCACACTCTTCTTAAACTGGATCCATTTGGAGAACCGCTTCACTTTTTACCAGGCTACATTTCACTGAATGGGCTTGGAATGTCAAAGGAAGCCAAATAAGATGTCCTTCAGGAAGGATGTCAAAAGTAATTAAAAGCCTTGACCAAAATGGACCATTGTCTTCCCATTTACAAGAAAGCTTGAGGATAAATGTTGGTGCAGCACAGAGGTGGACTTGGCAGGGCAGTGGTGAAGGCAAGACAGGACATACGAAAATGTTCAAGAAATTCACAGAAATGGGAAGGAAAGAGGAGGTCAAAAATAATCCTCTGTGGCTAGAGGCGGGAGGAATCGGTGACATATACACAGTTGCCACACTTCCTTCCTTCATTTAGACTTGCACAAGAACTGCCCAGCAAACTGAGTTTCTAACTTCAGGTGGGGGGCTGTGTAGGTCTCAGGCAACAGAACAAAATTTGAGTCCAGTGGCACCTTTAAGACCAATGAAGTTTCATTCTGGGTAGAAGCTTTTGTGTGCATGCACACTTCTGGTGCAGCACTTCTGGAGCTGGAGAAGACTCTTGAGTAAAACTAGGCTTGAGTAGCACGGGCTGTAGCAAGAGGGAAAGAAAGGTAGGCAAGGGAAGCAATTCAGAAGGAGGGTTAGAAGAACAACAGTGGAATGCCCTCCGGTTGCCTCTAATGACTACAGTCTGAACCTGACAGATCTCAGAAGCTAAACACGGTCAGCCCAGGTGAGTACGTAGATGGGAGACCACCCAAGAAGCCTAGGGCTGCTGAGCAGAGGCAGGCAATGGAACACCATCTCTGCTCATCTCTTGCTAGGACTACCAACTTCCAGTTGGGAAATGCCTGGAGATTTTGGTGGTGGAGCATGGTGGGGGGGAAGGGTTTGGGAAGGGAAGCAACCAGTCATAGATTCCACCCTCCAAAGCAGCCATGTTCTCCAGAGGAACTGATTTCTGTCAGCTGGAGGGACAAAACCTGTATTTGGAAGGAAAGATCTGAGCAGAAAAGGGTAGGGGTATGACTTAGAAATGGACCATCTCTCTTGCCGTCTCTTGCCTGGAAGACCCTACAAGGCCACCGTAAGTCAGCTGTGACTTGACACCACCACCTGATAACTGGGCCCTCACTTCTGGAGAACCACACCTGCACACAAAAGGGCTGTGTGACATCATCCCTTGCTCCTTTTCGGATAAAAATAATTAAACCCCTGATCCCCACCCCCCCTGCTTCATATGTGTGGCAGACATAAACAGTTCCCTCTAAGCTGTGAGGTCCTGTGAGCAAAAATTCTCCTTTGTGAGCTGCTGGCATTAAAGTTGTGAGCGAGCAATTTGGCTACTGCATAAATTAGTTTGCTCTGGAGCCATCCTTCCTGAGCTAAAACAAAAAACTGTGAGCTAGCTCACACTAACTCAGCTTAGAGGGAACACTGGGACTGTCTTTGTCACACCTAGTCTGGCCTTGAAGTTCTCACTTATTTATTTATTTATTGATTTGATTTGTACCCCGCCCTCCCCAACGGGCTCAGGGCAGCTACAACAGAGGCAATTGCCATAACAACAGTTAAAACAACATAAAAGCAGAGGTCATTTCGGGGGGGGTCGTGGGGGAATGCAGTTCCCCCGGGTGAGATGCAGGGGGCGGGGCACACGATGAAGCCCCGCCCCCTGCTTCCGGCCGCCCCGCTTCCAG